CCACCTTCCAGCACCCACTTGACCTATCAGCTCTCAGAGATGGACCAAGTTCTCTATTATCAATATCACTGAACCTGCTGTGGCCCTCAGCTATGTAGCACCACATTCAGACATTTATAAATGTGCTTTGTGGGACAGAAAAGAGTTCAGAAGTGTTTCAAGAGTGGTATTGCTATTGTCCAGCTCCTAGGAAGTGTGAGGTCAAGCTAGCTGTTCCTCCAAGGACCCCATTGGGCCCACACAGCCCACTTGCTACCCTACTTTCAACACATTTTATATTTGTTTTAGAATAAAATCAATCCTCTGTGAGTTCATGAAAGGCTCTTTGCTTGTTGTCTTTGCTGATAAAACCATAGCTAGTAGCTCATATGCACATTTCCCAACCACATGTTGGAACATTGGACAGGCACCATTTGCTTTAATTTCAACAGACATGCAACTAACAATGCTGAAGACTGTATGAACCTCTTCTGTTCATCCCCTTTTCTCGCACTTCATCCCTTCCCCCAACTAATCTAACCTTAGATCCGCAAGTTAGAAAATAACTTGATAGTCTCCTAGTCCAGCCCCGCTCTTGATACTTCAATCCCCTTAAAAATAATGATCTCTGCTTGAACCTTTCCTACCCCACCCCACCCCCAGTAACAGATACTCCCAAGGTACCCCATTCCTTTCTTAGACAGTTATAGGTTAAAAGTTTCCCCCTACATATCCTTTTCATTTGATATGGAATCAAATACAGATTTACTTTCTCGACTTTGCAATTCTTAAACCCCAAATGTTCTGAAATCTAAACTTTTTTGGTAACTTCTTTGACAGCAAAACCTCTTCTGAAGAGGCATGAGGCTATGTATAGCCTTTATTTACCCCATCCTGTGATTCACTGAAGAACTATTGATATGTTTGATTATGGGGTGCTGCCCTAGACCCCAATTGGGTTGTTACATAATATGCCATCTATGCCTCATGTCACTTTTTCAAGATTTGAAAAATTATGAAGGGTTTTGGATAAGAAATTGTGAACCTGAATCTGTTACTCCGAAGGAGTCCTGGTGGCACAGTGGTTAAGCACTTGGCTGCTAACTGAAAGATCAGTAGTTCAAACCCACCAGCTGCTCCACAGGAGAAAGATGTGGCAATCTGTTTCTGTAAAGATAACAGCCTTGGAAAACCTATGGGGTAGTTCTACTCTGTCCTATAGTGTTGCTAGGAGTCGGAATCGACTCAACGGCAATGGGTTTGGTTTTTGGGTTTATCTACTACTCTACATGTATTTGTTGCTATTGTTAGCTGCCATTGAGTTGACCCCTGACTCATGGTGATTATGAACAATGGGAGAAAACGCTGCCCAGTCTTTTGTCATCTGCATGGTCAGTTGCAGATCAGAGCATTGTGATCCATAGGGTTTTTACTGGCTGATTTTCAGAAGTAGATCACCAGAACTTCTTCCTAGGCCTCTTAGTCTGGAAGCTCCAGTGAAACCTGTTCAGCATCATAGCAACAAGCAAGCCTCCGCTGACAGACAGGAGGTGGCTGCACTTGAGGTGCAGTGACAGGGAATCGAACTTGAGTCTCCCGTATAGAAGGTAAGAATTCTACCACTGACTGGAGAAACCCCAAGAGTATGGCCCTTGGACACACCCTTTTAGCTCAGTAATGAAGTCACTCCTGAAGTTCACCCTTCAGCCAAAGATTAGACAGGCCCATAAAACAAAACGAGACTAAAGGGGCACACACGCCCAGGGGCAAGGACAAGAAGGAGTAGGGGACAGGAAAGCAGGTAACAGAGAACACAAGGTCAAGAAGGGATAGTGTTGACATGTCATAGGGTTGGTAACCAATGTCATAAAATAATATATGTACTAACTGTTTAATGAGAAGCTAGTTTGTTCTGTAAACCTTCATCTAAAGTACAATAAAAAAATTTTAGGTGCATACAATGGTTCATAATAACAAATGGGTGCTACTTTGTGACGTACATCAAAATATTATTATTATTACTGTGTAATTATGTTAAAGATATTGTAGTGTATCTGGAATTATTTCTTTAATGTTTTTCATGCATATATACTAAGACAAACATTTGACTAACTGATGTTAGATATGAACCGTACCTTACTGTTCCAACTTACGTACAAATTTGATTTAAAGACAGACTTAGGAACAAAACCCGCTTGTAATCCAGGGACTGCCTGCATATACATACGTATGCTTGTATGTGTAGAGGTAGACTGGCTTTCATTGTTATTTCCTTTTGCCCTCTTCAAAACTTTTTTATTTGAAGGGCATGTATTACTTTTTCAATAAAAAAACTTATCTATTAAAAAAAAAAAGAATTCTACCACTGAACCATATATGATATTTAAGTCTTCTATGTCCCAATTTATTTTTTCCAGTTGATCTGTCACTGATTGAGAGAGTTCAGTTAAAGTCTCCTACTACTTGTTTGCTCGTTTGTCTTTCCCTGTCTGTCCTGTAATTTTCACTTTCTGAATATTGCACCTTGTTATTTGGTACATAGATATTCATAACTTTAGTTATGTCCTCATTGTGAGTTGTATCCTTGACTGCGTGTGATATTAACATTATGACCAGTACTTTTTTTTTCTTTGCATTTGCTTCATATACCTTTGTACATCCTTTTATTTTCAACCTTTCTGAAAACACTTTGTTTTATGTGTATCACATACTTGAGTATAGTATAAAGGTGGGTTTTGCCTAGGGATACAGTTTGAATATCTTTTCTCTCAATAGGTGATTTAATCCTATTTCAACATTTATTGATATGTCAGGTATATTTAGCCTTGTTATTATTGTTAGTTGCTGGCCAGAGGGTTTTGACTCATGGCAACCCCATGTGTGCAAAGCAAAACTGCTCTGTAGGGTTTTCAAGGCTGTGGCCTTTCAGAAGCAGATAGCCAGGCCTGCCTTCCGAGTCATCTCTGGGTGGATTCAAACTACCAAGCTTTCGGCTAGTAGTCAAGTGCTTAACCACTGCGTCACCCAGAGATCCTGAGTTTAGCTTTAATTCTAGCATATTTTGTTATACTTTTTGTTAGTATATTTTTTAAAAAGCTTTCACTATGTAGTCTGTTGTCTTTGTTACTGTGAGTAATCCTTCTCATATTTAGGAAGGTTTTCATTTTTTGCTCTAGTTGATGATCACTCTGGTAGGGGGACTATTCCGACTGACTTCAAGCAGAAAAAGCAGCCTTCTCTGGGCCTTGCCCTGACCCTTGGGGTCTACTCTGTCCAGGCATCACACCCCCACCCCCCCATCAGCACCCGGTGCCCAGCTGTCTGCCTGCCATCCTCTTGAGATCAACTCATCTCAGGCACCAGGGAATCATTAATACCAGAGACTCTCAGAGGTTAGGGGCTTCAAGTCCATGTCACCCAGGGCCATGTTGTACAGCTCCTCAGGCTGTGCACTGCACAATTCCAGGAGTAGCTTTCTCATGGATATGATGCCACATGTGCCAACTCTGTCACCCAATTTTTATCTATGCAGGATTCCAGAGGTCCAGAGCTGTCATTTTTAGGTGGTTCCTCACACCAAGCCAAAACTGCCCTCACCCCTAACCCCTAGTGGTTCATACCCTGGTCCCTATACTGCCCTCTGAACCAGTTGCTGTCAATTCTGACTCATGGCAACCTCATGAATGCCAGAGTAGAACTGTGCTCTGTAGAGTTTTCAATGGCTGATTTTTCAGAAGTAGATCATCAGGCCTTTCTTCCGAGGTGCCTCTGGGTGAACATGAACCTTCAACCTCTCGGTTAGCAGCTAAACATGTTAACCATTTGCATCAGCCAGGACTCTTATGCCCTCTGAAGTCCTACACAAAAAGCCTAATCACCTGTTTCACCAAACGTGAAGCTACAAGACCCCATCCAGCCCTTGCGAGTCCCAACCCAGCCAAGAGGCAATTGTGTTTCTGCAGGAGACCAGCTCCCTTGTCCTACCTCTGAAGGCACTATCCCTCCAGCTGGGATGGAAGGAGAGAGGCTCAGGGAGGCCATGCACACCCTAGCGTGCCCTGCCCCAGCCCCCTGCCCTTCTCTACTACTGCTGCACTCGCACAGCCTGGCTCCCAGCCTGAGACACACAGGCCCAGAGCAAAAGTAGAGCAATCAGGAAATCAGAAAGAGAAGGCCGTGCATTCCTGCTTCCCTCTCAGCAAGTTTCCTAAGCGATGGGGCTCCCCAGGCTGCTGGCCAAGGAGTCTGGGCACAAACAAAGCTCTGCAGTCAGGGTACCCTGGGAGCTGCCCTTTGAAGAAAGAGCCTCCAAGTTCCCTGAGACCCCCTCTGCCATCCCCAGCATCCCAGGGAGTGTGGAGGAGCCCCCATCTGGAGTTCCTCACCTGGCGCCTCTGCAGTCAGGTTTGGGGGTAGGACAGCACAGGCAAGAAGGACACAGCACCTCGCATCTTCCAGGACAAGAGACAGGGACACAGCCCCTCCTGGACAAGCCCTTACTGCCCCTACCCTGCCCCACATCCCTTGGGATATGCTGCCTATATCCAGGAACTAAAGGTAACACTAAGCTTTCACTCTCATGGGTTTTGAGGGCAGAATAATGACCTCCTCCCCAGGTCTGGAGTGGGCACCTTCCCCAGGCAGAGGAACTAAGACATCAGGGACTGAGCTGGGTTGGTGTGGGCCCTGCCTTGGTCCCCAGGAGCAGAATGCCTGGAGGTGTGCTCAGTGGAGGGCGAAGGGGAGAAAGAAGCCCTCTTGTCCCAGAAGCACAAGACAATAAGGGAGAAGTGTGAGTGGCACCCAGGAGGGCAGCAGGGGTTTGGGAGATCAGAAGAGACAGGGAAGGCTGGGCAGATGAGGCCCTGGGCTTTCTCCCCTTTGGGGCCACAGCCAGAAAAAATAAAACTGGCTTAGCCAATTGCGTGATCCTTCTATTTACCCAGAGCTATGTTTTGCCCTGACACTCTCTGCTCTGGAAGGTGACAGCAGAAGGCACCCAGCAAGGAGTGGGTAGGAAGGGAGTCAGCAGGTGAACAAGGGCTGCACCGGACCCCTCAGCCGTCCACCATCACACAAGAGGATGGAGACCCCTAACATGTCCACTGCTTTCAATTTCACCCTTCCACCCAACTTCGGGAAGCGCCCCACTGACCTGGTACTGAGCGTCATCCTGGTGCTCGTGCTGTTCATTGTCATGATCTCGCTGGGCTGCACCATGGAGGTCAGCAAGATCAAGGCGCACTTCTGGAAGCCTAAGGGGGTGGCCATCGCCCTGGTGGCACAATATGGTATCATGCCCCTCACCGCCTTTGCTCTGGGCACGCTCTTCAGGCTGAGCAACGTTGAGATGCTGGCCATCCTGATCTGCGGCTGCTCACCGGGGGGAAACCTGTCCAACATCTTCAGTCTGGCCGCGAAGGGGGACATGAACCTCAGGTAGGACTGGAGATGACAAGGGAGCAGCCTGGGGTCAGGAGCAGTGTTGGAGATGTCACAATCAAGGGGAAGGACTGGGCTAAGCCAGGACAGAGAATGAGTGGGGGCTGAGTGAACACTGTGAGTGCTAGGGCAGCAGGTGGCTGGCCATTTATTGGGTGGGGGCAGGTGCTGGGGTACATCTTGGTTTAAGCACCAAGCCAAAGGAGTCAAGCTGGTCTGGAGACACCCTTATACCCCGAGGTGTCTCAAGTGAGGCGAAAAGATTACTATGAAGGATGCTGATTTAAACCAAAGTGGACACTAGAGCACTATGTTGTTGTTCTTAGTTGCTGTTGAGTCTATTCCAACTCATGGCGACCCCATGTGTACAGAGTAGAACTGCTCCATAGAGTCTCAATACTGTAACTTTTTGGAAGCAGATCATCTGGCCTTTCTTCCAAGGCACGCTTTGATAGGTTCGAACGTTTAATGGTTGAGCACTTAACCGTTTGTACCAGCCAGGGACTCCTCTGGAGCACTATACCAGCCTACAATTATGGACAAGTTGTCTGCTTTGAGGCCAGATTTGAAAGCGGGTGCAGAATGGTTCCTCTCTAGGGAGATCAAGGTGGCTTTGAACCAAATGAGCACCTTCAACAAGCTTTGTCCACAGCCAGATAAAATACCTAGGACTTGCTTTGCAGCGGGAAGGATTTGGATTAGATTAACAAAAAAACAACTCTTTGTCTCAACGATTCGATTCTGATGCTCAGATGCCTGCAGAGCAAAGGAAGAATTTCCAAAGATCCTCCAAATTTTCCAGGCATCAGGGATGTCTGCCTCTTTTCTTCCTCATCCTCCCAGCTGATGTAGGGACACTTCCAAACAAAGACACAACCTAGTAGATCCAGGAGTTTCCCTAGCACCAGCCCAGCTTATGCTGTGCCCCCACCTCAGCCACACTGGTAGGGGGAAGACCAGTGCATGCCCTGCCCAAAGCATTAGGAGCAGAAGTCAGTGAGGGCTTGCTCCATGGCAAGCCGGCATCCAAGGGCTGGTTGAACTCCATCCTTCCAAGCAGGTGGGACTCTCTGGTTTTGAAAGCCTCCCAGAGTGGGCTATTTCAGATATTTCGCCAGTTCCAGCAGCAGCCTGTGCCGAGGCTGAATAAAACTCACTGGTGGAAGCTTTCATCTAAGCCTCATGTCTCAAGCCAGTTTCCTCTGGTTTCTTCCGTGAAGGTGCTACTCAATGCTATTCAATGAAATTCCATCAGAGAGTCCATCAGCTTATGTCTGTCAGCACTCTGCCCCTGGTTGAATTTTACTAAGAAAACCAACTAATTGGTGATGAAAAATGAAGGCTGGGCCAATTTTCAATAAAAGAACAAGAGTTTTGGTTTACCAGAACCCTGGATCTGAGAAACTCCAGATTTTCTATTCACATGATTTAACCCTCACTGAGGTAGTTGATGGAATCCCAGGGTGGTGCAAACAGTTAACACACTCAGTTGCTAACCAAAAGGCTAGCGTTTGAGTCTACCCATAGATGCCTCAGAAGAAAGGCCTGGCAACCCACTTCTGAAAAATCAGCCATTGAAAACCCTATGGAGCACAGTTCTACTCTGACACACATGGGATCACCATGAGTTGGAGTCAACTCCATAGCAACTGGTGTGTGAGGTAGTCAATGGGAAGAGAAGCACAAAGAAGGTTTATACAGTCTCCCACTGGAACATATTTCAATGTTTAACCGCCTCACGGTCAGAATAGTCTTCCTGCTATCTAATCCAAAGGCCCCTGGGTAGCACAGTTTGTGCTCCACTATTAACCTAGAGGTTGGCGGTTGGAACGTACCCAGCAGCACCTCAAAAGAAAGTCCTGGCAATCTGCTTCTGTAAAAGATTATAGACAAGAAAATCCTATGGAACAGTTCTACTCTGTAACACATGGGGCCACCAACAATCAGAATTGACTCGATGGCAAAAGGTTTGGGTTTTTTTTGTTTGTTTGTTTATCTAATCCAAATCCTTCCTGCTGCAAAGCAAGCCTTAGGTCTTTTATCTGGCCTTGGGGACAAGGCTTGTTGCAGCCTCTATGTCACAGAAACTCCAACTGCACTTCATTACTGGCGTAGGCTGGGCAAAATTTCATTCTGTTATACATTACATCGCCATGAATCAGAACCAACTGGGCAACAACTAACAACATCATGAAAGGAAGGATGCAGGAAGTAGGGTGTCAGCAGAGGGTGCTCCAAGGGCTTTGTGATCTGGAGAAGAAGCAGAGCAGGGTGGGACAGAGTAAAGGACAATGGGGAAGTCTTTTAAGTGTGAGTGACCAGATGTCACAGCCTCATCAGTCAGTGGGTGCTAATGAGGTTTCTCCAATAATGCCCACTGGGGTCAAGTGCCCAGTGACTCAAGAGCATTCACCTCGCATGCTCTCCTGATCAGCCACTTTGTCCAGGCACCTTGGGATCATCATTACTCCCAAGGCCCCACAGGAGATAATGCTCTGCTGGGCAAGGCCACCTCGTGCTATAAAGCTCCTTTCCCCAAATAGATCTCCTGTGCACATTCAACCATGCATGCAGCCTCCATTGGTAGAGCTCGGATTTCATCATCTACCAGTATGTGCTGCCAGGCTTTGAATTCCAGTTTGAGTTCATCTGGGACAACTTGCTACATATATTGTAATAATGATAATGATACTGATAATGAATAGCAGCCAGGCACTGTGCAGAACATCTTACCTGCATAAGTACATTTAATCCTCATAAACACCCTGTAATTAGCTTCATTTTAGAGATGAAGTGACTGAGCCTTAACAAAAAAAAAAAACCAAACCCATTGCCGTCCAGTCAATTCTAACTCATAGCAGCCCTATAGGACAGAGTAACACTGCCCTATAGGGTTTTCACAGCTGTAATCTTTATGGGAGCAGACTGGTAGGTTTGAACCGCTGACCTTTCGGTTAGCAGCCAAGTGCTTAACCACTGCACCACCAGGGGTCACCCTGACTGAGCCTTAGAGAAGTTAATAAATTTGTCCAAGGTCCAGGTAGCTCCAGATTCTGTGCATTTACCCAAATATCTTCAGGGTTAGGCATGTACATAAGTGAGTGAGGTGGCTGGAGGCTGACTGTCCACCTAGACAGCACAGCCCCTGGGAACAGGGCAAACACCCTAATCTCAGCAACTGGTGCTGTGGGAGACGCCAGGGCTTCCTGTTGTTCAAGAGAGGTAGAATCTCCAATTTTTATTCAAAAATTTGAAAAACACTGTGTAAGCCAGGAGGTCCCTGGATGGTGCAAATGGTTTGCCCTCAACTACTAACTTAACAACTACTAACCCAGCAGAATCACAAAAGCAAGGTCTAGTGATGTGCTTCTGTAAAGATTACAGCCAAGAAAACCGTATGGAGCACTTCAACTCTGTAACACATGGGGCTGCCATGAGTCAGAATCTACTCAAAGGCAATGGGTTTGGTTCTTTGATTTGGTGTAAGCCAAACAATACATGTTGAAGGGCCACGTGAGGCTCAAATTCTACCAGTTTAAGACTTCTCATGAAGCACAGCACTGTACTATTTTCCACTTAGAGTGGAGAGGAATCATAAGACACTTGTTCCATTTTGCCGATAAGGAAGCTGAAGTCCAGAGACTTGCCAAAGATTTCCCAGAGTGTGATGGTAGGTATATCTAGAACCAGTCCAAGCCTCTCCTCTCAACGTTGCTCTGCCTGTCAAATGGAGGAAGTCTAGGGTCAGCCAGCCATCACAGGCAGACTGGGTATAGTCCCAGGAGGCTGAGCCACCAAATGAACCTGCCAAGGCAGCCAGGCATGGCAGCTCCTTCTTCAAGGATATCACTAGACAAGCTCCAAAAAATGCAGGTGATCCACAGGCAGGAGAAAAATGCCCTCAACTTTGAAGCAAGCCTGGCCTGTTGGGGACAGAGTAGAGAGTGCCAGAAGGGAAATAACTGACGTCCTTTTACTGCCCTCGATGCCCCTCAAGCTCCTCTGCTCCCCCAACCAGGCCCACATCAGAGACCAAAACCAATGGCTAGGGGAAAAGAGACACAACCAAGGATTCCAACAGGTCTATGACTTAAGGAGCTTAACCAGGATGAGACAGAAGCCCCAGGTTTGCACAAGTTTTTCACTTTCACCAGAGAGATGCCAACAGGTCATGCAGAAGTCCACAGCAGGGTCTGTGCACTGCTCTGAGAACTTAGCAGGACAAAAAATAAAAATCCCCTTTCCCTGACCGCTTTGCCCTGAGTGGCAGCCAGGCCCAAATGTTACTATGGAGCAGGCTCCAATCTCTAGACCTAGAATCTGGAAAAGTCACCTCCCATCCCTACCTCTCAGGGTAACCTGGGGATCACAATAGTCGCAAATACCAGCAAATTCCAAGATGAGCATCCCTGACTAGCCCCCAGCACACCCCAGGCCGCAGGGTGCTCCAAGTCAGAAGAGAGGCAGGTGTCGCCTGGGCATGAGAAGGAGGTCCCTGGAGGTCTAGGAGCAGAGTTCCCACCCACCCCTTCCTGAGCAGACAAGGCAAGGCACACCGAGTCCTAGAGCAAATTCCAAAACTCCTGACACACCAAGCCAAAGTAAACATGATCCTTCTGCTCAAAGGACACCAAAAAAAGCACAAAGTTGTGTGTGGCTTTTCTCTTAAGAGGAGATCAATAGCTAGCACTGAGCCCCCAATATGATCTTCTCTATCTCATTCCTGCCCCTTCTGCCCCCAAGGGAGTATCTACTAGAATTTGGTGTTTAGCATTTCCATAGACCCTTTCATGCTATTACTGTGGTGGTGGTTGTTGTGTGCTGTTGAGTTGATTCTGACTCATAGCAACCCTATATGTCAGAGTAGAACTGCTCCACAGGGTTTCCTAGGTTGTAATCTTCGCAGGAGCAGATTGACAGGTCACTTCTCCCTCAGAGCAGCTGGCAGGTTCAAACCACCAACCTTTCAGTTAGCAGCTGAGCACATAATTATACTG